ATATATATATATATGAAATGTCAAAGAACAGATGCAATCAATAAAATACAAAACTATGTAAAAATAAAATTTATAGAAAAATGGATGGAACAGGAAAACAGTATGCTGAGTGTTCTAGTTTGATTTATGATGCTGTGATAAGACACTGATGAAAAGCAAATTGGGGAAGAAAGGTTTTATTTAATTTATAGGTTACAGTCTATCATTAAGGGAAGCCAAGGCAGGAATTTAAGGCAGGAACCTGGAAGCACGAACTGCAAGGGACCATGGAGGAAAACTGCTTGCTGGCTTGCTTCCAGGTTCATGTTCAGTTACCTTTCTTATGCAGTCCATGCTCATCTACCTAGGGATGGTACTCTCCACAGTGGGCTGGGCCCTCATACATCAATTAGCAATCAAGAAAATGTCCTAAAGACATGTCTGCAAGCCAATCTGATGGAGGAAATATTTTAATTGAGGTTCCCTCTTCTTGTGTGTGCCAAGTTGACAACTGAAGTTAACTTCTTGAAGTAATCCAGGCCCAGAAAGACAAACAATGTATATTCTCTCTCATAGGTACACCTTATTTTTGAACTTTTAGATTTCTATCTTTAAATTAGAATTAGTGTCTGTAGAGACCAGAAAGCAAGAAAGAAGCCATGTGTGGGGGTGGGGAGGAATTAAGGCGTGGGGAGACGTAAAAGTAATGTTGGATACTAGGTATGAAAAGACTTAAATGGGATTGGGGGAAATGCGAGGTGGGGAAAGTTCTCCAAAAGCAAGAATACATGAAAAAGTCTTGTAGACACTACTTTATAAGCTAAAACACATAATTAATAAAATAAAAGTTTAAAAAGAGCTGAGAATGAGGTATACTTCATGGATGGATAATGCTGCACCCAGAAGTCAGACTTTTAAACAAAACCCCAGTGCCAAGTGCAGGATATCTCTATGAGTTGTTGACCTGAGAGGTCTCAGACACCCCAAAAGAATACAAGCTACTGTGCTTTCTCCTCATTGCCAATCAGAACTAGATGGTGAGACCCTATTGCTAGAGCAAACAAACATTTTGATTACAAGACAGAGAGAAGTCAAGTTAGAACTGAACTGGAAACTTCTTCATTGATGGCTACTCTTCATAGTGCCTGAAGGTGCTGTGCAAGCAGCTGGGGGAGAAAACTCATCAGTGATCACCCAGCTATAGACCATGTGTGCTACAATAACCATTGGCCAGGCAATATATACCCATTGGTGCGATAGTGGAACAACTATTTAAGGGATAACCAACTGCTTTGTGATTGAGTTGACACTCCGCTCTGTAAGAAAAAATATAAACCTGATACTACTACAAACATGGTCAAAAGTTTATGGCTGGGGAGGTCATGGTCCCAAAGGGGAGAACATACTATGGATATTTCCCTAAATGGGCATGTTGTCAAACTGCCTTCTAAATATTTATGTTTATACCCATAGATTAGTGATGCTCTCAGTATGGGTCAGGAAAGCTTCTTCTTGCAGAGGGCAGGTAGAATTTAAGAGCAAGAGGATAGAGATGCATACTACAAAATGCTGTCATCCAGATTTAACATGGCTATGACAAGCATAAACCTACAGCAACTATGGAAATCTACACAAGCTTGAGTCCTTCAAGGGTCACATCATGAATAGAGGAGGTGCCAATGAGGTTCCATACCTTCCTGAGGAGCTACTGAATGTTAGTGATTGCTGGAGGGGCATTCTATTTTCATTAATGTTGTAGCCACTGGGGACCAATTAGAAAGACTAAGGGAAATGAATGGGGACAATTGAAGATAAGGAGGTTGACTATAAAATCACAGTCTATTGTACATAGGTAAGAAATTGTCAAAAAATTTAAATGGCATGTACAATAATAAGTACTTGTAATACCCAGCTGTGAAGGCTGAGGCGGAAGGATCCCTGGGTCTTACTGGCTAACCAATCTAGGCTCATTGGTGTACCCTAGGTCAATGGGGGGTTCTGTTGCAAAGAAGGTGGGTGGTTCTCCTATACTTGACACAGAAAAGTTACTGTCTGGCCTCCACATGTATACCTACTCAAACTGAGCAGGTACACATACACACACAAAATAATAATAACAATAATAATAATAATATACAAAACACACAGAGACAAAGATGAGGAAGATTTCTACCATGAAACTTTAATATACTGACAGAAGAACGTGAAGACACTAAAGACTGAAAGTTCACTTGTGGTCATGGATAGACACAACTAATATTGTAAAAACAAATATGTTGCTCAAAACAATCTACAGATTCAATGTAACCTCCATCAGAAGTCCAACAACATTATTCACAGAACTGGAAAAAAATGTGCTAAATTCATATAGAAGCACAGAAGGCCTGAATAGCTAAACCAATCCTTAGCAGAAAGAGCAATGCTGGGGTATCACAATTCCTAATCTCAATTTATATTATACAGCCATAAAAACATAAACAGTATGGTACTGGCACAAAACCAGACTTTAGACTTATGGAACAGAATAGAGGACCCAGAAATATACACTATAGTCACCTAGTTTTTATTTACATGGTTGTCTATGGAAATCAGTATGGAAGTTCCTGAAATAAGCAAACTAAATCTAACTCTGTGTGTGCGTGTGTGTGTGTGTGTGTGTGTGTGTGTGTGTGTGTATGTGTGTGTGTGCATGTTGTGTTCGTGTTTACAGGTCAGGATATTGGAAAGGAGATCTTAAGAGAGAGGAAGGGATGAGCTGAAAAGATCTTAGGGGAAAATAGAATCCAGGTAATGGGTACATGTGACAGGAAAACAGAAGTAAGAATAACTGGGGGGAAATAGGAACCAGCTGGATGTGGGGGGATGAAAGAGAGCAAAGTAGAGTGACACATGTCTGAAGATGTCATGATGAAACCCATTACAATGTGGACTGGCTTAAAAATGGCTTAAACATATAAAATGTGATTGGCCCTGTGTTGACAGCTGATGGAGCTGACCCATAAGTCTACAGTGATTCTTGAGTCTATTTCCCCTCCTTTTCTGTGTGCTTGCCTTTTTTTCTTAACTGAAGCAATTAAGCCATTTTAATAATGACACACAATTGACTCACAGTTAAACCATCCATTGAGAACACCATGATTTAAAAAGTTACAAATGTGTACACAGACAACCTCACTTCTGTTTAAACTAAGGTTGTAGTGTGACTTCTGAGACAGGCCTAACAGAAGGAAACACGGGTGACCTCAGCACAAGGGGTTAATTTTACTCTAAACCAGTCTGTCATATTAAGGAATTTGGTTGAGAAACCAGGAAGCTGTGGAGAATGCTTGAGAGTCTCTACGGCTTAAAGGGACAGAATCGGGATATAGGGACAGTCAAAATGGAGGTGAAGCTTGAACCCCAAAGGGCTATATGTTATTGCATTATAAGATTGACAGTATTGGCCAGGAGAAATGGCTCAGCAGTTAAGATCACTGACTACTCTTGTAGAGGATCTGGGTTCAGTTTCCAGCACCCACATAGCAGCCCTGACTCCTTTGCCAGGGGATCTGGAGCCCTCTGTGCAGGACATGGGTGCACTTGCATACACGCAGGCAATAAATGTACACACATAAAATCAAAATAATAAATAAAATATTTTTTAAAGATTGATAGCTCGAGTATTGATAGGCATGTGAAAATTGAAACAAGTTTTGAATTTTTAATTATATTTTATATCCAGAGGCATAAGTGTTTGGGTTCACGTGAGCACTTACACCCAAGTATTCATGGCAGTGTTTTTAATAACACCCTCAACCTGGAAGAAACTAAAAAAATCTAACCATTAGGAAAAGATTAAAAAACAGTGACATATTTAGACATTGTTATGCCAGTCTGCAGTCAATAAAGAGCAGTATACACGGAAGGATGCCAAAATAAGCTGCGTTCAAAGTACATTAAAAAAATGTCTTTCAGTGAGGTAGAAAGAGGTGTAGTCAGAGACAAAGTCAACATAATATAGCTATTCTCTTACAAATATCTGCACTCCTACATACATGGATATAATGTGAATGTTGGTACTCCATCTACATATTAAAATTTTTGTGTGTAGTTTTGCATATTATCAATAACAGTGAAATCATATATTTGAATGAATTTATCTCAAACTCAACATTAAGACATTTTATTTTAGCTTCAAAAATCCCTAAAAACATAATAGAAGAACCTGTCTGTGTTTGAATCAGCCACAATCCAAAATTCTTCCCAATATGTGCTACATTAGAGTGCTTACCTGACACATTCGTGATGTCTCCAAACAGATTGCCTCATCCAGTAACTTCAGCATTTCCTGGAATTGACTGTCCTGGTAATCAAAGCGCTCCCCAAAAGTGACTGTGCAAATGATGTTGGAAACTGCATTGTTGATCTTGAAGTGAGGGTCAAAAGGCTGCCCTGTGGGTTGAGAGACATGGTGCTCTAATAGCTTTAGTTGTGAACTTGACACACCTGGGTAGAGGGAGTCTCAGTTGGTGAACTGTCTCTATAGGACTGGCCTGTGGCCATGTCTGAGGGGCATCTTCTTGATGAGTGATGTGGGAGGGCCCAGTCCACTGCGGGTGGTACCACCCATGGGCGGGTGGGCTTATGTGTATAAGAAAGCAGGCTGAGCAAGGACCAAGGGAGCAAGCCAGTAAACAGCTTTCCTCCATGGCCTGTGCTTCAGTTCCTTGCCTCCAGGTTCCTGCCCTGAGCTCCTACCTTGGACTCCCTGATAAACTGTGACCTGGGAGATGTAAGCCAAATAAACCCTTTCCTCCCCAAGTTAGCATTGGTCAGTGTTTTGTCAGGGCAATTGAAGGCAAACTAGAACCAATAGGTCTTTTAAAGATTTTCATATGCTTCTATTTTCTATAAAGAAGTAACTTCATATGATAAAAAGAAAGAAAACAAAAAGTCAATCTTCTAGCTACCACAAAACCTGCACATATCCAGTGGAAAAAGCAGAGAGACAGATAAAGGGCTCTGGCCACAGGACACTACATGGGGGTTGGCATGTACCAAGGACTCTGTCAATTCCTGGGAAGTCAGATTGATGACCAGGATTTAATTCAGCAATGTGTTTAATAACCTTCTTTGTGTGCTTTGTTATAGCCTGTAAGGTATGTTTATGGCTATATTTATACTGTTCAATCTTAAGTGCCTAGGACAGTTCAGGAAAGCACATAGACACATAAAAAGAATCTTTAACAAATGAATGGGTCACAATTTCCTGCACCTGCCCTGTGACATGCCCACCTTTCTCCTCTCCTATGGCCTGGACAAGGTAGTGGGCCTCCTCCTGAATGCGCTGCTCTAAGCTCTTCCTTCCTAACCCAAAGTTCCTCAGTGTCATCAGGGCAAACCGTCTTTGCTCCTTCCATGTCTGGCCACTGGAGAAGATCAGTCCTGGAAGAAAGAGATTCAGCATTACAGCATTGTGATTCTGGAATAAAATTACCTGGCAAACTATGTGGAAATGTATACTGAAAGAAAGTAAAGTGACAGGTGAGATGGACGACTCAGTGGTTAAGAGCATTTGCTGCTCTTACAGAGGACCTGGGCTCAGTTCCCAGCACCCACATGGTGGCTAACAGCCATGAGTAAATTCAGTTCCGGGGCATCCAAGGCCCTCTTCTGACCTCAGTGTGCATTGTACAATATGGGTGCATGCAGGCAACACACTCATACACATAAAATAAAAATAGTAAATTAAAAAAGGAAAGTAAAGTGACAATAACGGGCTTGACACCTATCTAGAGAAACAATTCAATGGTAAGAAATTAACATTAAATGGTGCCTTGCAACGTTGCACACTATAGTACTTCTTATGTATTATGTAATTTAGTACTCTCAGAAAATCTACAAGATTATTACCAACCAAATACAGGCCTATTCTGACTGATTATAAGAACTGAGACACAGGGATAAAGTAAATCTTGCAATGAAATAGTATAGAGCAATTAGGTGTTCAAATTGAATCTCCCTGGTTCCAAAGTCCATAGTTTCCTGTTAAGCTGAATACTAGGTATGCACTCATGGACAAGATAAGATACATACTTTTTTCCTGAAATTTTTAATTGAAATTTTGTGTATTTCATATAGAACATCTTAATCTTCTTTATACTTCCTTCTCCAGTGGCACCTTCCCATAGACCCTCCCCCCCCCGGATTTCATGCACTCTGTCATTTGTGTTAAGGTCTATCAAGCCAAGTCAGTGTCCCCAGATGTCCCTCAGTGACAGACATCTATCATCCACTGGAATCTAGTCAGCTTATGTAGAGTTTCTGCCTTTAAGAAGATCAGCTCTCCCTCACCCAGCAATAATCAGCTGCCAATAGTTCTTGGACTAATATTGGGACCTGCTGTCCATTTCCACAGTTCTGTCCTGGGTTTTTGTCAGCTTGAGTTTGCATAGGTCTTGTACATGCTGACACCATTGCTGTAGGTTCATATGAGCAAGGTCCCAGAAGCCTGTAGAACTCTATTTCCATAAGGAGATAAAGAAGACTTTCTGGGAGAGGTCCTAGCCAGTACAGATGTTAGAAGATGAAGAAAGACTCAAGAACATAAGAAGGATGAGTGTCCACACAAAAAGAATGCAGGTGCAAAGAGGAGGAGCACTGGGATGCTCAGTAGACCATCGTTTATTTCATGACACAGACATGCCATGCTCCTGTCCATTTCTTAACTTTTAGAGCAGTCCTTAGCTCTTTAATACAGGTCTTGGCCTCCAACATGCCCATGAAATACAGGGAGACCTTTCAGTCTCACCTCTTGTGATCTTCCAGCAACATTTCCCTCCTGAAACTCTCCTTTGCAATGGCACTCAGGATCCTTCCCTTCCAGATATTCTTCCTAACTCCTTGCCAGAAATTTTCATAATGTTTACTGTTTTCTTCTATCAAATATCCAGACATTGGAGCACTTTAAGACTAAGCCTAAAACCTCTCCTTTCACTCCATGTTTAATTTCAGGAAATCTCATCCACCCCTACAATTCAAATAACCACCTTTCGTCATTACTTCCACTTCTACTTTATTCCAGAAGGTACACACTCATGAATCAAGCAAGCAAGCATTTGATTTTGCTAGTCACAAGCATTTCAGACAGACCACATCCATGACAGAATTCATTATTTTGTTCCCCAAACTCTCAATAGAATACAACACCACCAAGCCCCTTGTCTCCTCTCAGTGTTCCTCTTCCCATCACCCACTGCTGTGGGAATCCCCACTACGGGTGTCCCTTCAGCACTCATTCTCCCTTCATCTGTCATAATTTGATGTTTGCTTCCCTCCTGAATGATTTGATTCCATGTGGGTTTCAATGCCACCATCCAAGACTAATCTACTGTCATTTCCTGTCAGCTTGAGTGCACAAGCTTGTACTTCTTCTTACTTAAATCATAATTTCCTCACTGTCACTCTACATAGCATCCTAAATGTGTCTTAAAATATGTAGACTTCAGTAGGTGAACTTGCACTGAGGAACATCTGGGGACACTAACTTGACCCTATAGGCCTAACACAAATGACAGAATATATGAATTCCAGTCAGGGGTCGGGGGGGTGGGAGGGTGCCAGTGGGGAAGGGGGTATAAAGATGATTAAAATTGACTGAGATATTCTGTACAATATATACAAAATTCATTAAAAAATTTAAAATAATGTGTAGTATATGATCTCTACTCAACACCATTCAAGTGCTTCCATTGCTATTAAGAAAAAAAATCCCAACATCCTTAGCAAGAACTTGATTGGATTTTTCTGGCCAAGCTCCCAGTTTTATGTGGACATAACTATCTTCCTGAATACCATACTTGGCACACTGAACATTTTCACTTCCTCATGAACCCTGACCTTCTTATTTCTTCAAGGACATTGTTTTACTAGTTATTTCTTCATGTCATCAAATTAATGTCACTTATTATGGAAGCTTTACCTGAATCTCAAGACAACTTTAGGTATCTTTGATAAATGCATTTGGTACTTGTCATTATAATATTACAGGATTTTAGTTACCATAGGTATTTTATTCTCTGTCTCTCTCATTGACTAGAGTATGTGTTACATAACAACAAAGTTTTATTATTTGTCTGACTCACTGTTATATCTAGCACTATGCCTCTTGTAGATGATAATGATATAAATGGATGTGTAATTAATTAAGGTGAAATCAGGAAACATCTAAAATGATGTTTTTGGATCAATACATTTGGAGATTCGATTTAAATTTTCAAACGTGTAACTTTTTAAATGATAGTAAGTGTTCATGCCAATCTGTTCAAACATTGGCTAGAAAGCTAGAGATCCCCCTGCGGCATCACTTTAGTGATAGTGTACAAGGACCTATATTAGCAAAAATCTGCAGCATGAGGAAGCTGACTCACACCCATTTTGCTGCAGTAGAGGGTTAGGATAAGAGAATGAACTGAGAGCAGTGTTTCTGACTGTGATCATATGCTGTGATTACTTCCCTACCAAAGCACTTTACAGTTAATTTTTCAGAACACATATTTTTCTTATATTTTGTTTAATAACCACATAATTACTAGAAGCATTTCATTGCAACAGCATTGACATAGTCAATAACAGTTTCCAGAGCAAAGATGCATCTCTTTCAAATTGGCTATAATTTTTAGGTTCACAAGGTTGAATTAATACAGTTATACATTATTGTACTCGGTAGAAACCCTATAAGACATAAAATTGAATGAGGTTTTAACCTTTAAAAATGATCTCCATTTCATTTTAAAATATACTCCAGAACACATATTTTTTCCCCAAGTCTGTATTAGACACAACATTATAACAATTCTCTGGCCGGTGCTTTAATGAAGGAAATGGAGCATCCAGCTTCCTTTAAAGATATTAGAAAGTACTGGATTATAGACAGAGAGGCACCTTTAACATATCATAAAAATTACAGTATACATTTTATGTTGCTCAGTGGACTTACCATTTTTACCCGAGATGTGTTCTCGGGTAAGGGTGACAGGACGGTTCACAAAGTTTTGCTCCATGTGATTCAAGACTTCCTTGATTAAGGGCAGTCCAGTAATAACCACTGAAGGTACATTAGAAAAATCCAGGCTTAAAATGTTTCCATATTTCTTCACAAACTGAAAAACATTTAAATAGTCACAGGTGAGTGTGCTTGTGCCTATGTTTCCAGAGATGGTAGGCATGCACGTAGCTATGGAATGCATGTTTAGAGATCTGTATGTTCCTGTGGTGGAGGAAAATATCCTAGTCTGTAGGAATGTTTTTTTGAAAATCTTTTTCCTCTTGTACACTAAATTAAATTCAAATTCAAATTAACAATAGTAATTACTCTAAAGAAATTCACTAACAAAACCAGTCAATATGAATGGAGTGTGCATCTAAGCAAGGTCTCTAATCCAAAGATCTCTAATATGAAGCATCCTATAGTCAAATGATAATAATACTGTGCATCTGACTTGTCAAGGGCTGAAGGGTGCTTATGCAAGTATTGCTGGCACAAGCTCAGAATTCTTAGTAAACAAAGTATCTGTGTAGCCAGAGGAGAATGACCTCCCTTCCCCAGAAGCCTGATTAAACGTGAAAAGTATAATAAAGGGGTAAGGCCAGTTGGGGAGAAATGCCTGTAGCTCAGGAACACATAGGAGCTATTAAGTTACCAACTGTGGGTTTGGGGAGAAGTTCCTTTTTGCTTCAAGACTCAGACTCTTAGCTATAAAAAAGGAATAAACTAGTCCTCCCTCAAAGGGTTTTGTGAGGAAGAATCATAGCAAAAATGTGAAGGGCACTTTGTTTTCTGGTTCCTGGCACTCAGCCATCAGCCACCAACTGAATCTCTGAAAAATGAATGAGTTCCATTTGCAAAGGATGTGGGGCACACACTCATGGTGAGAATGAGGACAAGAGCAGGGGGAGTCTCTGGTCTCAGACAGCACTCACTGACTAGAGGACTGGCATTTTTTTATGTTTAACCTCATCACCTTCATACCAACTCTACTCTACTTTCCAAAAACTCAAATGAATTGTGGGTGAAGCAATTTAGCCAAAGAGATACAGCTTTTGCCTGGTAGAGGGAATCTGCCAAGCATTCTGTAAGAATGACCTTGAGATGCCCATAGATCGTAGGAGTTTAGCAAGAGTTAAGAGAGTTGGGAGCAGACATGAAGATGAGGGGAAGAGAGTTTGGGAGAGGAGGAGACAGAATGGAAGAGAAAGATCATGAAGACACACAATTTCCATTTGGAAATAAGAATGTTTATTTTGTGCCATTTACATGTTAGAAGTGTGTAACTTGATTTTTATCAGTAGGAACTCATAGTTGGAAATTTTCGAGGCTTTAGGGACTTCTCAGAGTTGGATTATATTCATATTATGATATTAAATGAAACTTTGGGGACAAGTGGTGAAAGTTATGGTTTAAAGTGTGCTTGACAAGAGATGGACTGTGATGGCTACTTTGAATTGCCAACTTGCCATAACCTAGAATCAGCTGAGAAGAGAGCCTAATTGAGGAAATATCTAGATCAGGATGGCCTATGAGCAGATCATTGGAGGACTGTGTTGATTGTTAATTGGTATAGGAAGACATAGTTCATTGTGAAGAGGCAGCACCATGGGCTGTGTTCTAACAGTGTGAACAGAGTGCTGAGAATAACAACCTAGCAAGCAGAAAAGCAGGAATGTGTTCATCTTCTCTGCTCCTGACTGAAGGCGGGATTTAAGGAGTCACTTGACTTCCTTTCTTGATGCCCTCAGATGATGGGCGGTAACCTGGAATTGTAAGGGGGGGGCACCCTTTAATCCCTGTGCTGCTTTTATCTGGATATTTTATCACAACATCAGAAATAAAATTAGAACAGTTGTCAATGTCCAACTATCCCAGAAAAACATGAAAAAAAAAGAGTGCATGATGAAATACTTGAAGAATGGCTAAACCTTCCCAATCTAGCAAAATACAGACCTACCGTGAAGAATTTAAACTGCATAAAAGTCCCAAGTGAGGCAAACCCACCACAATCAGATCTGAGAACTCTAACCACAGAAAATCCTTTCAATGCAGAGAAAGAAAAACCTTATCACTTGTGGGGAAATTGTAGAAGATTTTGCTCCAGAAACCAGACAGGCAAGAAGGTGGGACAGCGCCTAAAAATATTAAGACGCCAGAGTGTCAACCCAGTGTCTTAAAGGTAAGGAAAAGACACTGTGGAAACGAGGTGTGGTGTGGGGGAGACAACCTGAGGTGTAGCAAAACTAAGAAGTTTCTTTTACTCCAGTCCTCCTCTGAAACAATAGCTAAAGATACACCAGTACGGACTGACCTTCAACTCACAGAGGTCCACTTACTGGGATTAAAGTCCAGCGCCACCACACCGGGCTGGAAGTTGGTATCTCTTAAAGGAGGGCAAGGATTAGAATCTTGCTCTACTGGCTGGGTTTGCAGGCTAACAGCATCAGCCTTAGAGTCTGGTTACCCCCAATCCTCCCCCCTCCCCGCACCTCCCGCGCACCCATTCCCAATGTCAAAAGTCTGAGGTTCTGCAGCTCAGGATTAGGGTCAGAACAAAGGGCCCTCTTGGCTTCTTACCGGCTGGAGTGCCAGGTGCGACCTCTCAAAGTTCACCTGGAACAAGTTTCCCACGAACGGCAGGCGCCAGGGCCCTGGTGGGTAGTTCTTAGGGCGCCGGGTTTTAATGAAGTCGACAAAGAACAGGAAGGAGACAGCAGCTAACAGCAGCGTTCCAGGATGGAGCGCTGCCCAGAAGGCAGAAACCAGGGTTCCCGCAGCCCCGAGCATGGCTCTTCTGGGGAATGAGGGTCTGAGCAGGGGAAGGTCCCCAATGTCACTGCCTTTAGCCCTGCCCTTGGCTCGCTATGTCCCTCCCTATCCTTTCCAGACCACGCCCGCCTCTGTTTCTACGGTTCCAGGGCGCTTGGATCTTTACTTTGCTCAGCCTCTTCCCCTCTGGCATCTCCCTCTCGCCCTCCGCCTCTTAGCCGTTTCTCCTAGTTTCTGCAGCGCTCCATCCTGGTGGACTCACTCACAAAGCTCTCAGACTCGCCACTCAGCACTTTCACCCAGTTCCCTCTGTGCCTAGCTCCCCTGGCTCTATCCTTATGAACTCTGCCTCTCCCCCTAAGTACTTAACCCTGATTCTGGTGCTGTTTTCCCCTACGTCCCAAGAGCTGTGTTCCCAGAACACACCGGTAAAAAGATTTTAAAAAGATTGGCTAGGGGATGGAAAGAGGACTCAGCGGTTAAGAGCACTAGCTATTCTTGCAGAGGACCCGGCTGCCATTCCCAGCAGCACCCACAAGGCAGCTAACTGTCCATAGATCCGCCGCCCTCTTCTGACCTCTGTGGTCATTGCATGGCACAGGCACACAAGGTACATGCAGCAATACCCTCATATACATAAAAATAAAAATAATAAATGAGAATTAAAATATAAAAGGTTGGAATCCCAGCACTCGGGAGGCAGTGGTCTATATAGCAACCTGGTCTACATAGCCAGTTCCAGGTCAGCTGGGGCTGTAGGGAGACCCTGTCTCAAAAACCAAAACAAAAAGGGGAGAGGTGGCTAAGAGAAGTTGTTTATTCAGAAAATTCTTTTTAGGATGCCTTTGTGGTTCTGGGGTTTGTCATCTGCATGCATTCCAGAGCATTTAGAGCATCCAGGACACATAGCTAAGGACAGTATCACCCAAAATTTGAAGGTTCCAACGGTATGACCAGCAGCTCTCTAACCTTTTACAGTAAGCCAATTTGTGGGTTATTTATCTACCTATTATTTATTTATATTTATGTGTTTATTTATTTAGTGTTTGTGGGTTATTCATCTATCTACCATTTATTATTTGTTTATTTATTTATTCATTTAGTGTTTGAGTGTTTTCTTGCATGTATGGAAGTGCACTGGTGTCATGCAATACCAGTGGAGGACAAATGAAGACATCAGATTCCTCTTGAACTGGAGTTATGCTGCCATGTGAATGCTGGGAATCAAATCCTGGTCCTTTGCAAGAGCAGTCAGTGCTCTTAACCACTGAGCCATCTTCCCGGTCCAGACATTTCATTTTGACAGACCTATGTAGGGTGAATAAGTGAATCCACGATGCTTAGTTAACATATACTGAAGGAAGGTTTGGTCTTGATTATGTTTTTATTATTATTTTAATTTTATGTGTATGAGTATATTGCCTGCATGTGTGCAAGTGCACCTGGGTCATACAATTCCTGCAGAGGTCGGAAGAGGGTGTTGGATTTCCCCGGAGCTGGAGTTACAGACAGTTGTTAGCTGTCATGTGGGTGCTGGGAATCAAACCTGGGTCCTCTGCAAGAACAGCCAATGCTCTTAACCCCTGAGCCACCTCTCCAGCCCCTGGTCTTGATTATATTTTTGATGGTGCTGGGAGATTGAACTTTGGGTCTTGGGCATGCTAAATAACTGCTCTGTCACTGAGATTTGTTCTTCCTTCCTTCCTTCCTTCTTTCTTCCCTCCCTCCCTCCTTCCCTCCCTCCCTCCCTTCCTTTACCTGTCAGACTATTGAGACAGTGTACCCCAAGGAATTGGAATATTCCAAGGAATCTCATGTTGGGGAAAGGAAAAGGTTAGAAGCCTAGGAGTTTGTTTCCCAGAAAGGGATTTCACCCAGTGCTGACAACTTGTCAGACTAGCCTACAACTAGTCAGAGACTGGAGACAAGACAATGAGGATGGGCTGGACCATGCTTTGACCAGGACTTCTTAGTTATGCATATTCTGGCCCTCTATTTATACCTGAACCTCATGTTTGGATCCCAAACAAGGTTTGGTTGTGGGGTGAGATGACTACACCTCTTTGTTCCTCTCCCTGATGTGGCTGCATAGATCTCTGGTCTCTGCTTTTCACTGTCACTTGTTTGTTGAATTGACCTACTAAGGATGGGTGGCCAAATCTAGCTTATTAGGCACTTCCAGGGCCCAGGCTCTGACTATCAATTCCAGGAACAATCTGAGCCTCAAGGTAGAAGAGGAGGGTATGTACAGCTCCTTAGATAGACCAGAAAGCTGAAAGATTTACGTTTCTGTTTCTGTATCACCATCACAAACTGACCAGTGTCTGAGGTTGAGGCAAACTGAATCCAGGGGCTGTCCTTTGCTGTAGACATCTATATGGTTAGGCAGGGTACAGTACTTACCCCAGCTGACCACACTACCCCAACCTTGACTGAATATAGGCCAGGAGTCTCCACAGTCTTTCTGTACAGTATTCTTATGGTCCTTGATGTAGCCAACACAGAGACTCCCTGGTAGCAGTACGCTCTCAGCCTGGGGCACATGGCACCAATGTGATAGAAGTGGTCGCAGGTACTTGTTCCAACACCTTCACTATACACAGAGATTGTCCCTTTGACATTGGCATGTCTGGGCTGAGGCTAACTAGTCCAAATGACCCAGCATGGTGAGAAGGATATCTGGTGGAAGCCTGCTGTAGGCAGGCATTCTGGCACTAATGGACACCTGGCTGTGTAACTGAAGCAGCACCAAGAAAATTCAAGTCTCATCCTCAGAGTAGATCCCCAGCAGCAATGCCCATCACAAGGGAGCTAACAGCATGTAGGGAATGTGAGAACAAGACATGGGACTCTCTGAGCCAACTGTCCTCAGATACCAGTGACCTTCTGGAAGGCAGGATGCTACTATCAGCCCCCACTGGGGTATACTGTGTCAACTTTCTCATATATGGGTCTCCAAGGCCTAGATGCTCACTTACCATTGCTTCCCCCTGAGTGTATGGATCTGCCCCATCCTGTTGGACAGTAAGGGCTGTATTACAGGTCATAAGAAGAAGCAAAGAAAGACCATATTTAATAAAAATTATTAATAATGGGCTGGAGAGATGGCTCAGGGGTTAAGGGCACTGGCTGCTCTTGCAGAGGATTCAGGTTCAGTTCCCAGCACCCATACACAGCTCCTTAGATGGACCAGAAAGCTGAGAGATCTGCTTCTATCTCTAGATCACAAATTGACCAGTATAAGAGACTGAGGCAGCCTGAATCCAGGGGCTCTCCTTTGGTTACACTGGTGTAGCTATCTATATGGTTAGGAAGGGTGCAATGCTTGCCCCAGCTCACCACATACTCCCAGGAATCAGTGCCTGGACTGAACCCATGTTATAGCTATGAGCCATTCATAACTCCTGTTCCAGGGGATCCAATGCCCTCTCTGGCCTCCATGGGTATGGCACAACATGGGTGCACTTACATACATGCAGGCAGAATACTCTTACACATAAAATAAAAATAAATAAATTTAAAAGAAATCATGTGTAAAACCCCAGTGATTTAAGTCTATGAAGTATTCTCAGTGTTTTACTCAACAAAAGTCCACCAAGTTTTTTGTAAAAACAGCGAGAGTCTGAACCACCACTTCACCTCACAGTGAAACAGAGCTCTTTCTAGGCATGTACCACCAACATTACTTTCCCTAGCTCCCAGTTGAAAGCTTTAATATCTCTCCAAAAGGGAGAGGCTCAGGATCAGCTGCCCCTGACCTCGTGTCCTGGTATCTCAGCCACAGTGGTTGAGAAGTCTAGGACTGTCTTCCTCTATACAGGCTCACTTGCAGTGAAGAAATGTTACCAGAAATCAGCATGTTCAGAATATCGGGGTGTCATAGGCCTCACTCTAGCTTGCTTGCAGAATGGAGGGACCACATTTGGAGTAGCTACCCACCCTAATCAGACACTAATGCCAGACAACCAAGATATGAATGGTAAGCACTTAACAGGTGGCTGGTAGCACCATGAACTTCCTGAAGAGTTCTTAAACTATAGATAGGCCATCTATAAGTTTTCCAGGGTCAACTAGGGAGAGAGAGAGAGATAAGAGACACCTTCTTGGGCCAAATCTCCAAGATTGCTGTCAAAGAGTATTTCTGAGAAGGAGCCCAAGCATAATTGAATCAGATTGCAAACAATTTATCACAGAGTGAGACCTATTTTTTTCCCTAATACTCTGGCTCCCTTAGTCAGGACAAGGTCCATATACTTAGCAGAGGGTAACGTAGAATGTCATCTTCATGTTATAAAATCCTAACTTCTAGATAATAGAAGTGAACAAGGTCTTAGGACAGTGGTTGGCTTAATGACTATGGACTGCTTATGAATCTTTGTGTCAATACTGTTATTTGTGTAGCTTGCTCTGAAGGCTTCTCAAAGGCCAGTAGATATGATTTTGCATATGAGGGACTATAGAAAACAGAATCTTTCAGATCAAGGACCTTTCAGTAGGTTCCTTCCAGAATCTGGGCTAATAGTGTATAGTAGCACAGGATGAATGGAGTCACAGCTTCATTAATAATAGACATCTAGTACTAATCTCTATTCCCCAATGGGTTTCTATACTCATAGAAGAGGAGTTCTATGAACATGGGCTATTGTATGGTACCAAGAGACCTTGATATTTTAAATGATCTGTTATTGGAAGCAAGATGCTTTGGGCCTCCAGTCTTAAAGGATATTGTCTTTGGTGTGAGAAGAAAGTAAGATCCTTGAAAGGAGTCTCTATGCGTTTGACTATCCCGGGTCAACCAACTTTGTCATTAATTAATAGCTATGCCGATTAGTTTTTGTCAACTTTGTTAGAATTTAGGATGAAAAGGCAACATAATAAAGAGGTAGGAACCAACCTCAACAGATACAGAGAGTTTTATTAGCTACAAGGGGCAAGCAACCTTCCCACAGGAATGGAGGTTATTATGTGTGGGGGTTTTGAGAAGTCTGAAATTTATAGGGGTCCAGAAAATTCCAGAAGGTGGGTCGTGGCTTCTTGGATGGTTTTGTGCTCCTTCCTGAAATCTGAGGAGGAGAGATGGGGAA